GTTACAGAGCTGTTTTAGTGCCCTTGGGGTAGAAAAAAGCAGAAAAATTGAAGCCCCTTATTTCACAGGGGAAGAACATTTCAATAGCTTTCAATAAATTAGAGGGCAGGTTTAGGTCCAGCACTATTAGGAACGGACTACCTACCCTCACAACTATTTCGATCATGACAAAAGAAAGAGTTTACTTTTTCAGGAGGAGCTTCTCTGAATAGGCTTCATTTGCCCTCACATTCCTGATTTGCTAGCATCATATGACTAGTCCATACACTAGGCCTGCCCTCACATTGATCTGGGGCAGGGTGAATGGTGCCCAGGTTGGCTCAGGGGGGGTCCGACCAAACAAGGGGGCTCAGACTGAGGCCACAGTGTGAATTGGGAGGTGGGGCTGTGCACATTAGTTTCTACGCCCACTTTTGCCTGTAGCCCTGTCCACCACTGGCTTGTGGCCCTTGGAAGGTTGCCCAGAAGGGAATGTGGCCCTTCAGTTAAACAAAAAGCCCTGGTTTAAGAAGGCTGTGTCCAGAGTATTAACTGTGCCTGATTTACACAAAGAAGAAATCTCAGTAACATTATGCTGGCATTGTTGGAGGAAAGCTAAGGTGGAGAGAGGCAGGGATCTTGCCTAAGGCCAGCTAACGATTTAATGGCAGCAATGAGTTTTGAACTGTGCATCTTCTTATTCAAAGCTCAGTATCTTAGTCCCTGATATCTGGCTTCCTCTCCTGCCCCCTTATGGGCCATGTTGAACACTATCAGATTATCTATGGTATCTGGGAAATCATTTTTAGGCCAATAACTTCTGATGGACGCCTTTTAGGAAATAATGTCAATTATAACCTTGTAGGACTTCGTTATTTCAGTCTATTACCTGCAATGAGTTATTCTCAAACAAGGAGTTCAAATTGATAAAAGGCAAAGGAAAATCAATACTTGAGATTGTTGAGATTAATTGGGACTTTATAATGGATTTCTTTCCCCCCTTCTTTTTCCACTGGGACTTCCAATAGCTCCAGCAGGCGGCCCATCCTGAATGTGGATTTAGTGCTGCCAAATATGTGAAGTCAAAACTTGAAGAGATTCATATTTTTCTGCATTAAGATGATTAATATTTCAAAACTGCAGACCTGCCAAGATAAATGGGGCTCAATATGCACACTCACCTCACACACACTGAGCTTTCTTTACCAATAAAAGAAAAATCAGTAGCTATTCTTCTCACTGGGGGAAAAAATCTAGTGGTCAGGTCATTGTTAAAAGTGTGTTTATTTTTCTTGCAGAAAGTGCTGTAAGCTCTCATAAATTGCTTTCTGTAGAGTAAGAAATTAGAGAAACTTGGGAGGCTACAGTGCAACCTCAATTGGCAGCCATTCAATAAGTTGTCAGAGAAGCTTCAGGAAGAAGATAGCAAGTAGCTCTCCTGGACAGTTCGGTTTCCTTGCATTCCATCTTTGGAATGGATCTCAGACATCTCAAGTTGGGGAATCTGGCAATTTTCTCTATAGAAGAATGCTGAGTTTTAGTTTCTCCCCTGTGGATGGCCAGATGGGGCAGTTTAGGTATCAACTCAGCAGTGCCTAAAACCAGGGCATTCAAAGGGCAGCAGAATTCTACTCGATTCAATACAGCTACTGACTCTGGCAAGGGTGAAGACAAGGAGAAAGCAGGTCCCACAGAAGTATGGGGACAGGGAGGGAAATGTGGGAACCAAAGGCAGGGACTGCATAACCAAGCAAAAGTAAAGATTGCTGAGTCAGATAACCAGAGTGATCAGAGTTAGGTTCTTCAGGGCCTTGGACAGTTCATAGGAAGAAGATGGTCTGTTTTGAGTCCACGGCTCCCTTGACCAGCTACATGCTTTCTGTGGCTCCCTTGTGGGAAAATGGCTCCAAGCCTCAGTTCTGTCCCCCCTTGCCTGAAGATCCAGCAGCCTCTCACCCCTTTTCAAACCCCTCCCTTGTGGAGTGTTCCCTCAGCCTCCTCTCCTCTTCCCTGTCCTTGGGAGTTCTTCAGGCAGCTGTCCCTGGTCTCTCAGCTTCCCCCACCCCCACCCCACCTCAAAGAGAGGTGCCTCCTCAGACCGTCTCACAGGGGCATGAGAGCAGGGTGCCCACAGCCTTAGTGGTCCAACGGAGACTGGCCAAAGGGGAACAGCACCTGACCTTGGGAGGCAGCAGGGGTGCCAGAACTGTTACAATGAACAGACACACAAGCCTTTGGGAGGCAGAGACATGAGAGGGCATCAGAGGGAGGGAGGGGAGGAAAGAGGGACAGAGGCCTGTGTTGCTTGAGGCACCCCTGACCATCCTTCAAGGCACCACAGGGTGCCATGGCACGCTGGTGGAAAACCACTGGTACATTTCATAGAATTCTAGAGTAGGAAGGGAACATGAGGATCATCTAGTCCAACCCCCTCCCTGCAATGCAGGAATCTTTTGCCCAACATGAGGCTTGAACCCACAACCCTGAAATTATTTGTTTCCATTATAAAAAGATTGACATGACTCATAGAATGAGCTGGAAGATACCTCAAGAGTCCAGTGCAGGAATCACAGCCCAAGAATCCCTGATAGATGACCCTCCAGCTTCTGTTGGAAAAATTCCAATGAAGGAGAATCCAGCACCTTCCAACGGAGTCTATTCCACTGTCAAATGGCTCTTACCATCAGAAAGTTATTCCTAATGTTTACTTGGAATCTCCTTTCTTGTAATTTGAATCCATTGGTTTGGGTTCCACCCTCTGGAGCAGCAGAAAAGAAGCTTGCTCTATCTTCAGATATTTGAAGATGGATACCATATCATCTCCCAGTCTCCTCTTTTCCAGGCCCAACACCCCTAACTCCCTCAATCATTCCTCATATAGCTTGGTTGCAGCCAATTGATCTTCTTGGTTGCCCCCTCTGCACACGTTCCAGCTTGTCAATATAATTCTTAAATGGTGGCACCCAGAACTGGACACAGTACTCCAGGTATGCTCTGACCAAGGCAGAAAAAGCAGGACTATTACTTCCTTTGACTGAGACACTCAACTTCTGTTGATGCAGCCTAGAATAGCATTAGCTTTTTTTGCTGGTGGATCACACTGTTGACTCATATTAAGCTTGTGGTCTACTAACATCCCTAGATTATTTTTGTTTGTACTACTGGCAATCCAGATATCTCCCATCATCATATATTTGTGCAGAACCTTACATTCATCCCTCCTGAAATTCATTTTGCTAGTTTTGTCCAATTCCACCAATCTGTTAAACAAATACACAAATAAACAAATATTTAGTTGTTTCCATTGGGTTTGAACACCACTTTGAATTACAGCAACTTTATTCCATGGTACTGGTGGATCTGAGTAGTCCAGTATCCCTTTTCTAAAAATGAAAAGTTTTATAAAAAACTCTATGGGGACAGACAAGTATTATCTCCCTATTAGTCTGGCAGAGGTTGGAGATGTCTGGTACTGTGAAATAATTTCTTGCTTAAGTTAGGGCCACTTTGTAAATTCATGATGAGGGGGGTCTTTGAGTTTCCCAGCTCATTGGTTGCTTTCCTGGTCACTCGAATATCCATTCTCCCTACAGTCACTGTGTTGCTCCCCAGGTAGATGACTCCTTTGAGATTCGGTGATGTTTATGTGCTATGGACTCAAAATATTTCTTTGTAGATTTACAAGTCTTCTACAGAGACTTTTTCTGAACATGCTCGTGGGGATTCCTTCCCTTATAAAACATAAGACTGAAAATATCAAGCAATCCCAATCTGAACCCCTGAATGGGAGACCGCCTCAGTGGCAGAGCAAGCCAATCGGGCGCCCAGGGGCAGGGCCAGCCGCCCACGGGGATGGGGCCAGCTGCCTGTGGGGCGGGGGGCAGGACGCTCCGTGGGGCCTCTGGGGTGTCTGTTTGCCTCCCCCACTCAGCCACCCTACAGCTGAGGGAGAGGCAGCAGGTAGATCGTTTGGGGCCTGTGGGCGCCCAAGCCACAACGTCTCTGTATAGATAACAATTTTGCCGTGTTGTAGCAGGAAATCTGTTCCTAAATACCTGTGGTCTTCTGTCAAAGTCATTCCTAGCTGTAAATCACTATGGGAAAGCTGTAAGGGGCAGAATTGTATTTACAGCAACAATAAAAACTGGAACTCAGTTCCGGCTCCTCTCAGGTTGGCACTGTTGCCATTATAAGAGAACAAGGAAGACTTTTGTGGTGAGTTCCAGGACCTCTTTTTCTAGAAAAATAGCACAGAGTTTCTACCTTGGGGCCTGCTCCCCTGTCATGTTTGGTGTTCAGCAGCAGGAGTTTTTGAAGGAATCCTGTAAGCAGGGCCAGTTGGGGGGAGGGGTTGCAGGGGGCATTTGGCCTGGGGCAAAACCTCAAAGTGGGCCTCAGATTTAGTCAATTCTCAATATTTTTGGTATTTGATTCTTCTCTCAGCTTGTTTCTACCTGCAGCAGACCAAAATGTGACTCCCACTCCCAGCTTAGAGCTGCAAACTTAAGCAAATGAGAGATGTGATTTGGTAAAAGACATGGTTCTTTTTTTGTTCGCAGATATTTAGTCATATTTAATTACATCTCACTTCTTTGGTGTGTGGCACTATTTTGTCTTCTGTTCCATCATTTTTAATTTTTTATTCTGCCTAAAGCTGGAAGTGGCCTAGGTCTCTCTGGACCACTGAAACCGGGTGTCCCTGATCATTGTTCTTGCTGGCCAGGGCTGGGAGCAGCACACAGGCACTCAAAGGCTTGGCCAGTATTCTCTGTAAAACGGACCACACAAACACACACACACACACACACACACACACACACACACGAAGCATGCCCCAGAACCTTTTGCAATTTGCAGTGTTTCTGAAATGCAGAAAATTCAAAAAGCGCCATAGACAGTCGAGTCTGCAGCAAAATAAGCACTCCAGCATAAGTTTGCGATGAGATAACATTCTTTTTATTGCTAAAAGAGATATAGCATAAATTAATATCTAAATATAACAGTTTTATACTTTTCATTTATTCCCCCATTTATAGTTAACACTATGTTGTAAGCATCCCAGAAGCATTCAGTTTTTTAAAAAAACAGAATATGCATAAGAAAATATAGACAACGTCCACTGCTTCAATTTAAAAAAAGCCAGTCACAGGATGGGAACCATTCGTTAGCCATATTGCTAGTGAGCTTGGCATGGTTTCCGTTTTAATATGACTTTGACATCTCCGCCAGATAGGGGGTTTTCTTCTTCACATTCAAGTGTCACAGAAGAGAAGTACGGTCTGTATTTCATCCTCAGCTTTGGGTTTTCGGTGTCTGTAACACTTTCTGGGTCATTTACAAATTTTGGCTTGGAAGTGTTTATTTCACTCCTTTTCCAAAAATATTTTTCACCCAGAACCAGAGTTCCGCTTAACAGCTGCGAAGCTGCAGCAAGAAACCCAATATAGATGGCCATTCCAGCACGTTGTTCTGTGGGAATCAGAGGCACTCCCAAAACCTCCGGAAGCGGAATGCCTTTGTTTGTTAATACGGAATGAAGATTCCATAAAATGGAAATCAGTACACAAGTACCCGCTGCCAACTCTATCCTTCCTCCAATTGAAAAGAAGGTATCAATGAAATTTTCGTCATTTCCTGGCTCAAAGATGTTGCATAGAGCAAAGGCCATCCAAAGAACGGTCAGCGCAGTGGCCACTGAGGCCATTGGCATCAAGTCCTGGGCCACGATGATTTCAGGCGGTAGGGACTCCTCCTCACTGAATGGTATGCATATCATGTTAGTTTTCTTCATAGTAACTCTTCTTATAGAACAGGCACCCCAGATGCCACTGCCCACAATGCCCTGCTGGTTGCTGCCCATGATTCTGTCTACTTGCCACACTCTCCAGTCAAGGTTGGCAGATGTGGAGCAGATGCTCATTAGGCAGCCCAGGACAGCCAGGAGAAAGGCAGCTAGTTGCACGCAGGACACCCTGCACAAGAGGCGGACTGGGAAGGACCCATCATGCGGCTGGGGTGGAAGTTCCGCTTTAGCGCTCAGAAGGCTGGCGATAGAAGGCATGCTGGAGAAAAAGACAGACAAAAGATAACTGTTAGATACTTAGGCACAGTATCATATGGACACCTCCTAAAGTTTGAGCAAATAGTGATGTGCAGCTAAAACAATGCCATCCTTCTAGGGCAAATTCTGCACTTCCCACCATGAGATGTAGGAATGGAAAAGTCTGCTGTACCTGCAATCATAAGTGCCAGGAATCAGACTTCCCCAGGGGTGAAGAAATTGCACAACGGCACAACCCCTTTTGTTCTAGGGACCCCCTCCATGCAGATAATTGGGCTCTTGTCTAGTCCACTCCTCCTCTGCATTCCTATGCTCCCCTCCCTTCCCTCTCCATTGGTAAAATGTCAGGCATGATCCCACCAAAGTTATGCATTCTACCCTTGAAAGAAAGTTGGTGCAACAGACCAATACAGCTCCTATTCAGGAAAGAATCCCTTCTGGCTTTAGTCCTCATTCTCTCTCTCTCTCTCTCTCTCTCTCTCTCTCTCACACACACACACACACACACATTGTGAAAAGCCTACCAAGTGGCTCTCAGACAGGACAAAAGGAAATAAAAGTCAATTTGTTCCTATCTGAGAAAACTCTGCTATGTTGGTGGGGAACTGAGGAGTGCTGCATATATGCACCTGTGTGAATCAGTTCTTCAACCAGTCTTTTTCCAGAGCGAGGGCTTTTTCCAGGTCTTTCTCTTCCAGTGTCTGATCTAGGAGAGGACCTGAAAAGAGTGAAGCTGGTCTGAGCACCGTAGCAACTGCTCCTTGGAGTTCTGAGGCAGTTAGAATGCAGCTTGCTTTGAACGCTCAGAAGAACACCAATCATAACTCCAGGGTACTGGTCGTTTGGAACATTTGGCAACTGCTTGGAGGCAGTATGCATTCAAATACCAGTATGATTCTGCAACTTTTAAAAGACACTTTTTTGTTAGATGTTAGCTTATGCAAAGATTGGATACAGAATGTGGAAATAAACACCCCAGCTGCCAGTTCCAAAGGAATGAGTGAGCAAGATTTGAAATAAACCAGGGGTCAGCAACCTTTTTTAACCATGGGCCGGTCCACCATCGCTCAGACCATGTGGTGGTCCGGACTATATTTTGAAAAGGAAAAAAAAAAAACCGAATTCCTATGCCCCAGAAATAACCCAGAGATACATTTTACATAAAAGCACACATTATACTCATGTAAAAACACCAGGCAGCCCCCACAAATAACCCAGAGATGCATTTTAAATAAAAGGACACATTCTACTCATGTAAAAACACGCTGATTCCCGGACCGTCTGCAGTCTGGATAGAGAAGGCGATTGGGCCGCATCTGGCTCCCGGGCCTTAGGTTGCCTACCCCGGTTAAGGTCATATTGAATCCCTTCAGGCATTCAAAGATGGCGATCATATTATCAGTTGGAGTGTTGACAGGGTTTTTTGTTTTGTTGGACCCACATTTTCTATTGAATTGATATTATCATGCTCCATTTGGGAGGGTTTTGCTTGTGATGCAATTTTAATGCTTTTGTCTTTTTTCATAATTACGTGTTTTATTGCTGTAACACTTATGGTGGGACCTTATTATGAAGACTGGGCAAGACATCTTATAGGTAGATGGATCAATAGTCAGTCTAGCAAAACCAAATGTGTGTTTGCATGGGGAACATAATGGATAAGAGCAATCCAAACTATAGGAAGCTGCTGTAATATATGACGGGGTAAATGATGCTGCTGTAACTTACCTCTGTTTCAAACTCCATTGAGGAATGGGGCTACTGATGTCCGGGCCAACTTGAGCCTGACGGAGAGAAAACAACTGTTACACCACTCATTTTGTGAGTGTATCTTCCACTGGGTTACCAGGTCATGTGCCTGAGCTGAGCAGAGTTTGGAATAGGGGCAAGTTCCCCCCTCCCCATTTCCATCTTCACTTTCCCAGAACACCTCTTTGGGGGACATACCCAAGCCTTGGCTGATGCCAGTGTCTCTCCAGCTGAGCAGAGATGAGGGACCTCTGTTGCTCAACCACAGATACACCTTTTCCAAACTGCAGTTTGGCAGTTCTTGGGTTTGGAATGCTCCCTTAGTTTTTATTTGCATTAATTTATTGGAAAAAATTTAATTCCACTATTAATTGCAAGTGCTTCCAGGCGGTGATACAATAAACTTTGGTAATAAACTTAGCTTGCATTCTCCATATTCTTCCAACCCCTTTCCGAGGACTGGTAAAATGTGTAAAGTGGGAAGCCTCACACTGCTCCCGTACGTGATATGTGGCTTTCTACCTGTTGAACAAGTACCCTAATGATATCCCCAGGAGCCAGAATGTGAGTTAGTGAGGCCCATGCCTTTATATATGATGGCAGAGCTGGGAGTACAAGCAAATGAGTCAAGTGTAGTGAAGCATATTTCTCATTAAATAGAGCAACTGGAAACAAAGCTCATGGAAAGGTGAGCTCATTTATCAAATCACATGTGGATGACACAGGCGCTATGTTTTATTACCTCCAGGGCTGGAGGTAATATCAAACAGTTTTTGCTGGGTAATGCCAAGGATTCATAATGTTGTTTTTGGAGGCGCTTCATATATTGCGCTGAATGGGTGCATCATTGCCAGTTGGTTTGCTCTAGGAAAAACAAAAGCAAAAATGAGCTTCAGGGGAAGCTCAGTGTTAGAACACATAGCTTGCATGCAAAAGGAAATGGTCCAGACCTTGGCATCTCTAGGTAGAGCTAGGAAAGACTTCTGCTGAAACCATGGAAAGTCACCAACAATCCATGCATGTCAGGGATGCAGAGCTTGTAGTCCTCCGTATGTTGTTGGGCTACAACTCCCACCATTCTTGACCATTGGCGATGCTGGCTGGAGTCCAACATTATTGTAAGGGCCACTGTTTTTCTTCCATGGTATAGACAGGAAGCAAAATCTCTTCCTGTGACCCTATTGCTGCTGACTTACTTGCTTCTTCCTCTTGCTCCTGACTTACTTGCAAAAGTGCTTCTTGTCTCCTTGGCACAGTACTCTTCCTAGAATATCTTAGTGCTTCTTCCTCTTTCCTGAGCATCAAGACCATCTAGCAATGGTGCCATGCTAGAGGGAGAAGAATTGCCTTTGTTAATAAGTTGGTGCATTTCTTCCCCATTGCAGCATTGTGTTGTGATGAGTGGTGTCTCTTGTTCTTCAGAGATTGTTGCCCGAAGAACAGAGACAGCATCACAACACCGCAACAGGAGAGGAAATGCTGTCTTTCTAAAGAGCAACAAACAACATTTCTTCTCCTCCAAATCACAATGGGAAGGAAGGAGACCACTGTTTCTGTAGTTGATAGAGAATATGAATTGTGTGTGTATCTGTGTGTGTGTGTGCTGTATGTAGAATAACAGAATTGTAGAGTTGGAAGAGACCTCAAAGGTCATCTAGTTCAACTGTCTGCAGGGCAGGAATCACATCTAAAGAATCCCTGACAGATGGCCAGATGGAAGTTTAAAAACCTTCAGTTTGTGGGTTGTGTGTACTGTATGGCAAATATGTATGTGTGATGCATATCTGTGTGTGGTCTATATGTGTGAATGCATGGTGAGTATGCTGTGTGGTCCATATGTGTGGTCTGTATGTAGCTTTGTATGCTGCGTCTCTGGCAAGTGTATATGTGTGCTTTGGCCGTAGCTGGTGTGTGGCCCTGAGAGAGTTGGTGGACTGTGAACGTGGCCCCAAATTGTAACCACTGGTGATGCAGACAACATTAAGCTATATATACCAATGGCCTCGTTTGTTATGTGGCAGCTTCCAATTCATTTGTTTTTTGAAGTTGATTTTCAGCTTGTTGAGCACTGTCAGAGACCTCATCAGCCATGTCTGAAGTCTCATTACTTAATTTTTCAAAAGCTACTTCAAAATTGTGATGTATGAGAGAAGATCAGAATGAAAACAGCCCATATTAGTAAAAATGTGAGAGAATGCATGCTTAGAATCCTTGTACTGCAGAGGCCAGTTCAGCAATTATTAGAAGCCTGGGGCTGTATCCAATTAAGCTATACTCAGAGTACACTTATTAAAATGAAGGAATCTAAGATAGCCATATCCATTAACTTCAGTGAGTCTGCTCTGAGTAGGATTAGCATTGGATACAACCCTTGGAGTCTTCTCTCTGCTGAGACACCCAAAAAAACACAATAATGAATCCTGAACAATTGTGTGGAAGCCATTGCATGTAAATCTCTATGTGCAAATGCTTTCCCTGTATGCCTGTGAATTGTTGATTAGATACAGGATGCTGGGCAGGTTTCTGATGGTATCTAGCATGCAAGGACACGTCGCAGCATAATAGTTTAACCTGAAGGGTTAAAAAGAGCAGAAGCATTACTTTTGAAATGAAAAGATTCAAAAGTCTCTATTTTTGTTGAGAAGAGAGAAGCAGAGCCATTGTCCACAAGAATATCAAGCCACGGCAGTAATATGTGGTTGAAATAAAACTGAGGGGTTTTCTTTTTGAACTGTTTATTTTCTTCATTTAAAAGAGTTAAAAAAGAAAGAAAGAAAATGTGTGCCATTTGAAATGTAAATATGTTTGGGGGTTTAGATGTTCAAGGTGTGTGTGTGTGTGTGTGTGTGTGTGTTCAAGTAATCAGTACAATGCAAGCTTAAGGTGAGCAAATATTTTGCTCCTATTGTTTTATGTTTGCTGCTGACTGTATTTCAGAAGGCTTAAGAAGTCCTCACTTTGCAGCTTGGCGGGTTCTGATTGTATCCAGTAGTGAGGCTCAAAGAGGCTTTATATAATTCAGGAGCAGGGCAGAGAAAAGAGGAAAAAAACCCAACTGCCATGTGAATAAAATGTCAAAGTATCTCTTCTCACGAAGCTATCGGTGTGCTGGTCTTGAACACGTAAGCTCGGCTGGATAGAGAGTAAATGATTTTTTACAGATAATGTGCTTTTATGATCTAACAAAGGAAGAAGAATTGCCTCTGAAGAAAAATGTCCTTTTTGTCTTCCTTTTGTGCCCTTGAAGGGTTTTCTCTCTTTTTTTCCTGGAATCCATCAGAGGATAAAGAACTGGGTGTCAAACAGGAGAGGGAGGGAGGGGATAAGAGTAAGAATACTAAAAATATAAAAGGGACCAACTGGCCTTCTAGAAAATCCCTTCTACAGCATCATGTCTGCGAGGTGGCTCTCAACTGCTGCTGTTGTGTGGAAGTCCAAAGCACTACCGTCCCTTCTTGTCATGTGTGATTCTATAGAATAAAACTATTTATTTTTTGGCTTCCCCTTTGGCTTCTCCCAAGAGAACTTAATTCATTCCGGAGGTCCGTTCTTAACCCAAAACTGTTCTTAACCTGAGGTATGCTTTTGCTAATGGGGCCTCTTGCTGCTACTGCGATTTCCGTTCTCATCCTGGGGCAAAGTTTGCAACCTGAGGTACTATCTCTGGGCTAGCGGAGTCTGTAACCTGAAGCGTATGTAACCTGAAGGGTCTGTAACCCAGGGTACCACTGTACATAGGAATGCAATACTGCAAAAAGAAGAATTACAGTACCAAGGGTGATATGTGTATTGTGCTTTTAAACCGGGGCAGGCAAACAAAGGCCCGGGGGCCGGATCCGGCCCAATCGCCTTCTCAATCTGGCCAGCGGACGGTCCGGGAATCAGCGTGTTTTTACATGAGTAGAATGTGTGCCTTTATTTAAAATGCATCTCTGGGTCATTTATGGGGCATAGGAATTCGTTCCTTTCCCCCCCAAAAAATATAGTCTGCCCCCCCCCCCCAAGGTCTGAGGGACAGTGGACCGGCCCCCGGCTGAAAAAGGTTGCTGACCCCTGGCATAGGCTGTTTTATTTAATACCTAGGGTTGAAAGCCATTGTACATATTAGGGGTGGAAAGGTGGCAAAGCTGAGATAGTAGAATTCTGGACAGTACGTCTTCAAAACTACAGGTATACTTGGTCAGCATATGTTTTGAATGCAAGCCCCAAGCGTTGGGGGAAAGTAGCTCGGCTTAATTTCTGAGCCAGTCACCCCCTCTCAGTCTTAGTCTACATCATGATAGGAAGGCTCACATTTGCTGCTGTCAGCTCCTTGGCTGGCGGGTAAGGACGTAATGACAAAAGGGTTCTGTTGTTGCATGTTCCTCAAGGAGGTTAGATTGGTCTCAACTAGGGCCAGGGCCTTTTCAGCACTGGCCCCGACGTGGTGAAACACTCTGTCACAAGACACTAGGGCCCTGCAGGACTTGACATCTTTCCGCAGGGCTGCAAGACGGAGCTGTTCCACCTGGCCTTTGGTTTGGACTCGGTCTGACCCTTATGTTTCCCTCCCCTTATGGTCTTGATTTATCAGCTACTTTAAAATGAGGCTGCATTTTAAATTGCATTTTAACCTGTATTTTAAATTGGTTTTTCTTTTCGTTTCTCCCCCTCCCCTTTCCCCCCCTATTATGTTATTACTGTAATTTTATTGGTGTTAGCCACCCTGAGCAGGGCGGGCGGGGTATAAATAAAATTTGTTGTTGTTGTTTGTTGTAAAAGTATCTGTGCTTCTGAAATATTTTGGCACAGGTGCACCAAGTTCTGCCCAATGGGGGGGGGGTTGCACAAGCATGTGACATGCGTGTGATGCACACATGTGATATCGCATGCATTGGGAGGAGGCTGCAAGGCCTAGAGGGGCCCACCACCATCATGGGGAGGCCTGCTTCCACTGTAGGAAAGTCCAAAATCCATTCTATCAGCATTTTTAAAAGAGATTAATAATTTTGGCACCCCTCAAGTCTGCTGGGATCTCCTCTCTCTCTTCCAGATTTTTCTGATGAGCTTGTGAAGTTGTTGTGTAAGTTCAGTTCCGCCCATTTTGAAGACTTTGTTGTTTTTCATTTGGTCAATAGCTGCGCACAACTCTCCCAGATTTGGAGATACTGCACACTCATCTCTAATTTCTTTCTTTGCAGAATTTGTGAGAGGACTGCATTCATGAATCCACCCCATAACACGAGTTCTTTGGGTAGATCATAAGAGAAATACAAATATATTTATCCCACATCAAAACACAACAACAAATAATGTATTCTTAAAACAAGAAACTGAAACATTATTAAATCACAAAAAGCCCATCCTAGTATAAACCTGAAAGGCCCTTGCAGTAAAAGTTATTTAAAAGGCCTTCATGAATAGAAAGGTCATTAATATTATTACATTTACCCCAAACACCAAGCGGTTAGAGACTTCAGCATAGAGCTCAGGTTTATTTTCCTTTATTACTTTCTCATTCCTTTATTACTTTTAGCTTTCTGTTCCTTTCATTGTTTTGCCCTTGCTTCTGCTTTGTTTTGCTTTTTTGTTTTATATGTGGGTGCCCTTTGCGGGATCGCACGCGGGGCTACAGTTCCTAGGGAACTTAATAGTAGAAGGGGGCTGACCTCTTTCTCAGTGTTAATTTTTGGAGGTTCATGCCCTGCCTCAGTAATCAAGTTTCTTGCTGGGAGGTGGGGCCAGCCCCATTTATAAATAAGGGGTGGAGCCGACAATAGCCAGACAGTCA